CAAGAAAAGGGCTCAGAGGAAAGAGAACCGGAACGAGACATGATTAGGTTAAGTCTAGTTATAAATTTATCAGAAGCTGTGCGCACCTTTTTTAAAAGTCCTAAGTTTACATTCCAAAAACTGCCCCCCATTCCCCAAACCCGCTGTCCCTGCCTTGGAGCTATTGTGAAAGACTATGCACAAAAACCGAAACAGGAAATAAAAAATAACCCGGCCCCTTCAAACCCCAAAAAAGCTGTACATTTTTTTACACACAGGATTAATAATATAGGCATATAGGTGGCATGATTCAATTAAGAAGCTTTACTTTTTATGCCAGGAAAAAACCCAATAAATAAAAGGTGCTAAGTTAGCATGAAGAATTTGGTTGTAGTATGACAAAATCTGGGAAGGCGAGTCCTCAAAGCTCCCCTGATACTGATCTGTCTCGGCAAACTACAAAGCAAATACATAAATAACGCAAAATACGATTGAGAATGTGAGATTTTTAAAAACAAGACAACATAATTCAGATTAACTCTGCTGAACAGTGAATAAAAGAAATTCATCTACACCTGAATAAAACATATTTAACAATTGAAAAACTTTAAACAACCACAAAAAGTAAAAACTTTCCACAAACATGAACAGGATTTGTTTCTAGGGCACACAAACGCCCTGCAGCAGATTCCGACAGCAGCTCTACCGGCGTCTTCTGCGGAGGAGCGAGACGTGTGGGCTCCGCGGGGCAGGATGACTAGCGGGCGACAGGACAGTCCCACAGCGGAGCGCGCGCCTGCTCCGACCCTCAGGTCCCGCTGCAGAGCTGGCTGTGTGCAGAGGAGGCACACAAAGAAAGGTGGTTCAGGCAGACATTATTCAAGAGCCACTTTGCCGGTAACCACTGAATAATGCGCGGGAAAGCTTTGGGCTTTGTTTTTTAAGTTTTACTCCTTGTATTTAATTTTTAAATAACAAGGTCACTAAAACTCATGCACGCTGCAAAAAACCTCATGCAGTAGTTAAGGTAAACCATCCAAGCAGTTTTTATTCATTAATATTCATAAATACACACAGCAGCTTCATTAGAGATTTCAATTTTCCTCTTCAGTTTGAATGTGGAGTATTAGGAGAGCCTTTTGCATGTCAAGGTACAGGAAGCAGAGGTCATCCCTGCACTGCTACCTACATTTACCTGCTAGAAGTAAAAATTAGTTAAGTGGAAATGATTATCATATATATTTTTCTCTCTTCCTTTTGAATGTACACAATGTAACAAGAGTGACAGACCTGAAATTACAATCACCAAACAAACCCAAGATAGTTGTTGTCCACTTTCATTGGCAAATACAGCACAGAGGACACTGTCTGCGAAGTGGGATGGCATCAAAGAGGAGGTGGTGGAGGCTCGTTTCCTTTATTACTCTCTTTTAAATTTAGGTTCTCTAAAGCAACATCTAAAGGCATAATATCTACACAGCCCATAGCACCAAAATCTGCCATCTCTCCCCGTTCGTCCTCGTCTGAGGACGAGCTCTCTTCCCGCACCAAGGTGGACAGCAGGAGCTCTTGGACGAACAGGCTTCGGTCTGCGCGCTCGCTCTCCATGGACTGGCGCTCGGCTTCGGACATTTTGGGATCATTTAACCTGCGCGAGGGAGGCAAAGAAGACCTTATTGGTACAGGGCCGACATCTGCAGTGTCCTCCACGGTGCCAGCGTGGCAGCGGCAGCACTCACATCCGGGGTGTCGCACACGAACACCTCGCTCCAGCGCATCACCCGGTTCCGTTCGGAACGCCCACGGCAACAGGCCACCCCGAAGTCGAACCTCTGCCCTCAGAAGCGCCAGCAGGCAGAAGAGCCACCACCCGGCACAGGCCGTCTGCACCTCTCCACTGGCCCTGGAGAAGGCACATCTGGCTGACCAGTGCCTGGGGCCGCCCAGGGCGCCTCGGTTCTCGTCACCCACTGTTCTGGGAGGCGCAGTGAGGACCAGGAGCGACAAGGTGCGCGAACTGCTTCGGCAGAAAGCGCAGCCACGGGGCGCTGGGGGGCTCTGCCTGCACTTCAAGCACCAAGAGGTAAGCACGGGGACAAACCTCGTGTCAAAAGGTGAGCACTAAATTCAAGGTGTCTCGAGGCAGCTGCACCTAGGCTATGGCTGTTGTGACTTCCCTAACCAGGACTGCACCAGGGGTAGTAAAAAGCGCAAGGCAGCGACTCTGCTCTCAAAAAAACTAATCAGCAGTGACCAGAACAATTAACTGCACCAAAAAAATTTCAAAATGCGCCCTAACTTTCTCTATTACTTCTGCCTAATTCCTTCTAAAATAAGACTGCACCTGGAAACACACTGTCCTTGCCAAGAACACGCCACGTGGTGGGCAGACCCGAGCACCGCCTGCGCGGCAGGTGCACCTGGCACGTGGGGGATCTGGGCCAGGGCGGGAACCTGGCGCATCTGCCCAGAGCCGGGACAGACGTGAAGGGTTGAAAATTCTACTTACCGCCGGGCGTGGTGGTGCACGCCTGTAATCCCAGCACTCGGGAGGCCGAGGCAGGAGGATCGCTGCGAGTTCGAGGCCAGCCTGGGCTACAAAGTGAGTTCAAGGCCCGCCTGAACTGCATAGCGAAACCCTGTCTCAAAAAGACAAAAAGACAAAAAGAAAAAAAAAATTTCTACTTACCACTTGCTGATTTGCTAAGTGACTTAAAAAAATGTCAATTCTCCAACTAAAATAGTGAAATTTTGCTTAGTTTCAGTACTGATTTCATTTCTGGTGGCAAAGAAAGGGGAACCAGCAGAACACTGGGATCAGGAAAAGTAGTGAGAGAGAAGACAGGGCCAGGGAGGGGTGCTGTAGGCCCGTGACAGGTACCTCTCCCCGAGACTCCAAGGGTACCGAGCCCAGCACAGACCTGCTCCTTGCTGCCTGCTGTCACCTGTTCCCTCCGCCCTACCAGTGCCAAAACGCCAGGAGGCCTGAGTGGTCACGGACAGCACACACACGGCCCTCACCGAGTAGGCTCTATTCTAAGCGCTTCATCAAGACACGAGCTCTATCAACTAGGAGCTATTATCAATCAACACTGCACAGGAAGAGGAAAGTGAAGCACAGTAAGTAACTTGATAAAACTTTCACAGCTGTTAAAAACCACTACTGATGAGTAAATCAATGGCTCAGAAGGCAAAGATCTAAGTTTCAGAACTTGAAGCAAAAATATCTGGAAGGTAATTACAGGAAAGCCAGCACATCCACAGTGAAAGGAGATACCAGTAATTCAAGGTTGCAACCAAAGGAAGACTATCACAGAGAGAAGCTATCAAGCAGGCTACACAGTCTCAACCAAAACTATACGAGGGCTGAGAACAGATCTGCATTCCACGTTCTTAGCTCTGGTTAACGGAGAAAACAATCTAGAGAATCAGATCTGTTATAGAAGAAAATCCACATAATGCTGCTATCAGGCAAACTGGAGACACACCGGCTGAGGCCAGAGCTTGACTCCAGCATTACCGTTTTGATTTTTAGGGAAGTGATTAAGAAAATGCAGTGTTCTTGAGGAGTAGATAAATTCTGGTACTAGAAGAAATTCTCTCCGATGCATCAAGTTCATTTGGGACCTAAAGGACTGCAAAGCCTGGGAGGAGCTTCAGTCCGGGTTGGCAAAGCTGGCTGGTCACATCGCTAGAACACAGGCAGCTGACTCAGGGGCTTGGTCACTTCCTGAAAGGTCTGGACCCCTCACACACCACGATCCACCTGCATCAGCTCCCGGGCACGATGATAGGACTCGGCCTTCGACAAAGCAGAGGCTCTCAGCGAGGCCCTGCGTGTATCACAGCACAGCTCTGCGACCAGAGACGGGGTTTGCCCCAAACACTGCAAGGCTTTTTCTACCTTCACATTTACAACGTATCTTAACACACTCCAAGTTCTGAGGAGCTCAACAGTAAGCTCTTTTTGTTAGTTTCCCCCAAACTCATTCAACAAGGGGGAGACAGATGCACATTAGTAACTGCAGGTTCCTCAGAAAGTATTAAGTTCCAGGGAATAGTTTTTGGAAAATACTGCCCCAGGTAAGTCAACTGAATCTGGATCAAATGATACATCCCAAGTTAAAACTCAGCCTGGGCAATTTAGCAAGACCCTGTCTCAAAAAAAAAAAAAAAAGAAAAAGAGAAAAGAAAAAAGAAAGGGCTGGAGATTTAGCTGAGGCCCTGGACTCAATTCCCAGTACCATCAAAAAAAAAGGAGAGCAAGAAAGAATATGATCATATGATCTGCAGCTGCAAGGTGCTATGCAGTGCAGAGCTTCAGAGATGGAACCTGCCTGTTAGAAGCTACAATCATTAATCCAAAGAAAGCACCGAGGCCACCCACACCACACCCGGGGGTCAGAATCAATGCACAAAAACCCCCAGGTCAAGCCACTGTGCAGCCTGGTACGTAAACAACAGAAACAAGGCAAGGCTGAGAAGATGTCGGTACCAACGGGCACTGGCAGACATCCTGCCCGCAGTTCAGGGTGTTCTGGGTGAACAGACATACTGGTAAACTGTGTGTGTGTTTGTGTGTGTACGTGCGTGCGTGCGTGTGTGGTATGTGGGACTGACGCCAGGGCCTTTGCACTGAGATATGTTCAAGCTCCTCTTTAAAAATTTTTTGAGACAGGGTCTTGCTAAGTTGCCCTGGCTGGGTTTGAACTTGCATTCTTCTTGCCTCAGCCTCCCAAGTGCTGGGGCTGCAGGTATGCTTCACTGTCTGCCGTTTGAGCTTCCTTTTCTGAGGTACGTATCCAGACTTGGCAAGGCCGGGCTGCTGGTCAGAGCCCAGAGGCAAAGTCGCAGCAGCAAGCAGACCACCTGCAGCTCTGATTCACTCACAGGGCAAGCAGGACTTTCTGGTCACGGACAGGAGTCACTGACCTGACAGAGACACTGCGGAGGCAAACTCCTCCCCTGAAATTCCCTCTTCACAGTGAACGTGAGTAACCTGCACGAGTATTCCATTCCTCCTCGAAGAGCCTCCCGGGACACTGGCACAAAGCTGCCACCTGGAGCGCTGAAGTACAGTGGGGCCTCCGTGGAGCCACGACTTGGAAAAGGTGGCCACATGTACGCCTGTGCGGGTCCTGCAGAGTGCACCGACGCACAGTTTGCCAACAAAAACAAAATTTCACTGAATGCTTTCGGCAAACAAAAGGGTCCATGAACCAAGGTGCCACTGTACATTTTCTACGCCCCAAACTTACTAAGCAGCAAAGCTGAGGCGACTGGAAGTCTTCAAACACAGTGTGACGTGACATTATGTTACAACTCCACACACGTCCCACTGTACCAACAGAAATTTTTAAAGAGTGGGAAAAAAGAAATATGAGTAGAAATTATACTCGTTTCTTTGAATAATTACCTAGTTTCTTTGAGTTGCAATACACATTGCACTTCAGAAATAAACAGCACTTTATCTTACGGTTTTAACCTTATGCTACTCTCTGTTCCACTAAAAGCTCAAGTTAGTACAGGTTCCTTATTTGTTGATTCTGAGACTCCACTCATCACTGCTTTTTTAAAAATTCTCTATGTTCTTAGTTTTTGGCAGAGGACTATATTCACTTGCTAACTTGTTTTAGAAGAACTCTACTCCTTCCAGTGGAGCAATTTACTGTATGTACTTATTATTTACACTGTGCTGACCGTTTTTTAAATAGTCACACTTTTGAGTACAAATCATGTGAATTTACATCTAGCTTCTTTAGAAAATCATCACTGTGACTAAATCTTCTTCTGTCCCTTTTGCAGTCTCACATATTGAAATTGGCAGTTAAGGGCATGCAATATTAATTGTGTTAATAAATGTACCTAATAAGGCTTGTATGTGTAATGCTACGGTGTCTAAGCTTTATGGGTAGTGTGGGAAAGAAAATTCTTATCAAATGATGATGATGATATATATATAACCTTGCAAACAAAACCAGGATTCTTATTTTATTTAAAATAATCATTATATTTTATACTCTTGAGGAAATACTGAGCATGAAGGTTTGCTTGTTTTGAGAGAGTCTTGCTATGTAGCCCACACTGGCCTCGAACTCACTGTGATCCTCCTGTCTCAGTCTCCCAACTACTAGGATACAGGTGTGTGCCACCATGCCTGGTTGAGCATGTCGTTTCTTTTTCTTTCTCTCTTTCGTCTTTTTGAGACAGGGTCTCACTATGCAGCTCAAGCTGGCCTTGAGCTCACTTTGTAGCCCAGGCTGGTCTTGAACTTGCAACGATCCTCCTGCCTCAGCCTCCTGAGTGCTGGGGTTACAGGTGTGCGCTACCACGCCTGGCCGCATGTAGTGTCGATGAGAGTTGGAAGTGGTAATGATTTAATAAAAGGCATTGTTTTTGAGGTAGAGTCTTGCTGTGCAGTTCAGGCTGGTCTTGAACTCACTCTGTCGCCCAGGCTGGCCTCAAACTTGCGGTGATTCTTCCGCCCCAGCCTCCCGAGTGCTGGGATTATGGGTGTGCACCACCACACCTGGTGAAAGCGTTTTTTAAAGAACATACAGGAGGGTGCAGGCAAACACACACACACACACACACACATCTTTCAGGCTGCACAGTGTCAATAAAGCAACACTTGTCCAAGGAAATTCTGCTGATAAATGAGCTACCTTGTTAAAAGAAACTGGGAATTCTGGAGCGTCTGCTGACTGCTTTCTGTGTTCGCTACGTTGGTTGTGGCTGTGGACTGTGTGATTGTGGTGGTGACGCTGCTCGTGTTCGTGCGCCGGGTGGCGTTGCGTGCTGTCTCCAGTTGCTGCCGCGCGGCCTGGGCGTGCTGCCGTTCTAGCTGCAGCTGCATCTGCAGTTGCTGTAACTGAGAGGCGGAAGGGCCGGAAGAATTCAGCTGTCCTCCTGCAGAACGCCTCACTCCTGATAACTGAGATAGAAGCTCTGCCAAAGGAAACGAGATTATCAACGTCTACCTGACGTCGAGGAAAATGAACGCTGGATACTGGCTGAACACCCACAGCACTGCGAGCAGGCAGGGACCCCGAGGGCCCTCTCAGACCTAACACCTTCTGGAGTGCCTCTTGGAAGCAGGGCTCACGGTGCATGGGGAATGCACAAACCTGCACAGCATCTCTGTTTTCAACAAAACTTTAGAGATTCTTTGTAAAATTATTCATATAAAGTAGTAATTTAGTTATATTCCTCTTAAAACTTGGACTAGCTGGGCATGGTGATGCACGCCTGTAATCCTCGCACTGTGCCAAGTTCAAGGCCAATCTGAACTACATAGCAAGAACCTGGCTCAAACTCAAATAAAGTGGGCCATCAATAGACCTAATCACAAGCTCTCTCAATATGCATTCTACAAAAGGAGCAAATGAGGCTGCTATTTTCCTCATGTCGGAACACAGCAGTTCTTCAACACTTACTAAATGACTGAAGAGATTATTAGGGTTACCCGGGGGCGAAGCAGGCCCGGCTCCCAGTGCGCTCCGGGGTCCTGCACCAGGGCTGTGTCGGGGGAGCGCGTGAGGGGGAAGGCGAGGCCGCGTTTGCATCTCAGCACCCCCAGGAAGTCAGTGCTGCTCTCTCCTCAGGAGGTCCGGGAGGGTCTGCCCGGGGGACGGGACGGACAATTTCCTGGCTGTGCTTTTGGGTCAGCAAAGGCTGCCATTTCCCAGTAATACCCACGAACGGGGCTGGCTTATTTTCCTGCTCACTGACGCTATACCTAGCTATCCCCACACCACTCCTTCTATCACTAAAATACATCCATTTTCACTCACCAAAAAAAAAAAAAAAAAAAGCCAGAGTAATGGAGAGAAACCCTGAATTTTGATTTCTAGAAATCATCTTTACTACTAAAAAAGAGCAGCTACAGTCCCTTTGAATATAGCAATACTTAAAATTTTTTTTCCAAAACTCAGTTTACTGGGGTTGTCTTGTTGGAATTCAAATTTTACACTATGTATTTACATTGTTTTTTTTCCCGGTACCGGGCATCGAACTCACAACCTTGCGCTTGCTAAGCAGGTGCTGTGCCGCTGAGCTAAATCCCCAGCCCCTCGCATTACATTTAAAGAACATTTTATGAGTAAAACTGTTGCAAGTGCCTACCACCTAAGTGGACTAGTCAGGATTTAAGCGGTGCAGCAAGGTGTGCCCCGTGTCCAGGCACACACCCACTGCAGGAACACGCCTCAGCACTGCTGCTTTGCCCTGGAGTACACTGGGCATAGTCCACACATGGGCCAGGGGCTCCCCATTGATCCCCACGCTGTATTTACCCTGAGCACTGCTGCCATCTTTGCAGGTCCATACCAGACTCTGCCCTGGCCAGGAAATGCGGCTCAAGCTATTAAAACGCATGTCCTTCAGTGTATTCTACAAGGTTGCTGTCAAAGGAAGCCAAGGACACGGAAATTCCTGTGTTCTTCCTTGAGCTCTTACTTCCTTAGTTTGTCAATTACCTTTTCTATCTGTGTACTTTGAGGAGTGAGAGCCAGGACTGCAGGCTACAAACACAACATAAAACCTTTCCATGTTATCTCATGCCACGAACTACTTAGTGGACACAGGTCAGTATGAACTATGTTACACTGTCTACTTTTAAAATATTTTACACTTGGGGCTAGGGGTGTGGCTCAATTGTAGGCAGAGCACTTGCCTAGCATGTGTTGAGGCCTGGGTTCAATCCCAAACACCATAAAAATTTTTTTTCAAACTTGTAAAATATTTGGAAATTTTAGCTGGGTTGGGTGGTGTGTTTCTATAATCCCACCACCAGGGAAGCTGAGGCACAAAGATCACAAGGAGGGCTACATAACAATTTCAAAGCCAGCCTGGAATAAACACCAGGAACCTGTCTTCAAAAACCAAGAAGGGGATTTTTGTGAAAAAAAAAATAGGCAAGCAGATGATCAAACTTAAGACCACAAACCCCAAAAGCATTTGAAAAGGCACACCCCTCCCCCTGCCATTTCCTTTATGAAGGCGAAACTAACTTACCAGCTATAGGGTCCATGGCTTCCCTATTGCTTGGAGAATATGAACTCTGAGAGGACGAAAGCCCACCAGTAGAACTGCTAGTAAAGTGCATGTTTGATCTACGAGCACGAGGACCGCCTAGTCCCCGGCCGGGGTGAAACATTCTACGTACATGTCGAACACCACTCGATTCATCATGACTCAAAAGTTAAGGACGGCATCATATATTTCACAGAAAGGAAAAAAACAACCAATGAGCCCTAGCTAGATAAACACAAAGTTCCTAAATTGTCAGCATTTCAAAATAGCACATTTAATTTAGAATATAAATATCTTGACTCTATGAAGCCTACTAACCCTAAAAAATATAACATAAAGCAAAATTGGGTGTGTGAATATTGTGTGTGTGTGTAAGGTTAAAAAAAGTTTCTTTGGGGGCTGGGGTTGTGGTAGAGTGCTTGCCTAGGATGTGTGAGGCCGCTGGTTCAAATCCCGGTGCGGCAAAAAAACAAAAATAAAAATAAGGGAATTTCTCTGGGCAAAGAGAAATTTCTTCCCTGGCTCCAGAGTAACATGGGCGGATAAGGTCAGAGGCACTGCCTGGTCAGCCACCCGGGAGAAACAGCCGTTATTTTAATTGCAGTGCTGAATTCCCTATATGTTTATGTAATCCAAGTAACCACAACTAGTATTGATTTTTCTATCTGGCGAGAGCTGTATTACTATCACATGACATTTATCAAGGAGTCAGACATCCAGCAGTCTCGTCCATCCCATACCACTGAGTCAAACGGAAGGTCTGGAGTAGAAACAGCTGTCAGACTCACAAAGACAAGCCAGTGTGGCGGTGCCACCGTGATCCCAGCTATTCCGGAGGGTTGAGGGTTATGAGCTGGAGGCCAAACTGGACTACGCAGTGATTTCAAGGCCAACTTGGGCTATACACCAAGACCTTGTTTCAAAAATAAATAAAATTAAAAACAAAAAACAAAACACAAAGCAAATAGCAAATAAACAAAAAACCTCATGAAGACAAGCCAAGTGCAGTGACACACACCTGTTAGCCCAGCTATTCAGAAAGCTGAGGCAAGAAGATTCCAAGTTCAAAGCCAGCTAGGACAACTTAGGGAGGTCTGGTCTGCAAATAAAAGGGCTGGAGCTGCAGTTCAGTGACAGAGCACTGGCCTGGCATGGGGCAGGCCCTAGGTTCCACCCCAGCACTACAAAGAACAAACCAAACCAAACACCCCTACAACTCATACAGACCTACATGGGGCGGGGGTGGTGGTGGTGGTGGTGATGTGTGTGTGTGTGTGTGCGCGTGTGTAGGGGGCAATCAGACACTGGAGAATGAAATTTTCTTTCAAAGTGGCAAACAGAGCAACTCCATGCAGATGAACTGTCCTGCTGGTGTCCTGGTCCTTTACAGACAAGGTGAGTGGCTCCGCAGGCCACCAGGTGCCACTCTCATGTTCATGGCTTCACGACTCTCTGTGATAATGGTCTGGGGTCTACAAAAAGCAAGGCCGTGACTGCTGTGTTTTGTTTTAAGCAGCAGCTGGGTGTGGAGTGCACTTTAGGGGGGCTTCCATCAAGATAGGGAAAACCAATCTGGTGCGTGAGCCCTCACTGAAGAGACTCCCTGAGCTCACACAGATAAACCTGCTACACACATGATTCATACTGAAGCAACTGAAAAATGCCTGTTTTCGGGATAACGGCCACAGCAACACCCCTCCCCACCCTAAGAACTTCATGGTAACAAAAAATATAATGTGTCTACCGAACATGGTGGTGCACGCCTGTAATCCCGGCACTTGGGAGGCTGAGGCAGGAGGCTAGTTGCAAGTTAGAGACTAGCCTGGGCTACAAAGTGAGCTCAAGGTCAGCCTGAACTGCATAGTGAGACCCTATCTCAAAAAAGACGTCCCAAAAACATAGCGTCTTATTTTTGAATTTTGGGTAACTTAATATTTTTCCTCACAGTATTGCTAAAATACTCACAAAATAGACACAGATGAACCAGGATATTCTAGTGAATGGACACTGACACTGTTAGAGGCCCCAGAATTTGCTGAAAAATTTCAGGATGTCAGCTTGACCTTATTTTTAAATTTTTTTAGTCTTTTTCTTGAGACAGGGTCTCACTATGCAGTTCAGGCTGGACTTGAGCTCACTTTGTAGCCCAGGCTGGTCTCGAACTCGCAACCATCTTCCTGCTTCAGCTTCCCAAGTGCTGGGATTACAGGCATGTGCCACCACACGCGCATCAGCTTGACTTGAAGTATTTGTCTTCCCTGTGAGGACAAAATGGAGTGTGGATCAAGCATAACCCTTCTGGGTATTTGTAAAGGATTTTTAAAAATACAAAATGCAAAACAAAGGCTTCAACATTCTTGGCTCACTGGGAGTTTCTCATTCCGGCTTTCTTGTGCTGTTGTCAGGGCCCCTGCACAGAAGGGAGCGGAGCGCCTCCCTGGCTTCCCAGTCACTGACTACACCCCTGAGCCCGCTCAGGCTGCGCACGTCCTGGGCGGCTCCAGCTCTTTACCTTCCTATTACTTTCCATTTACCTCCCACTACATCTTAAAAAAAAATCATTTCCAATGAGAAAATTAGCAATTTTGAGCAAGGGGTGGGAGCTCTGAAAACAAGAAAATCACTAGTTTGCTCCCCAATAAGTCGAAGGTTGGGCTGTGATTACCAGAAGGCAATCAACGGTATGAGAACGAAGTCTGGCAGAGAGAGCGCATTCTGTTTAGCTCCTGAATTGCTTCAAACTGCAATAAGCACTGCAGCTTTGGTATGCGAACGGAAACCTAACAGGTGACGCTTTTAGAAAAGTAATTCATAACCAGAAAGCAGAAGCAATGCGCGCATGGAGGTAACTGCTCTGTAAGCGGTCGTCTCTGGGAGTACTGAAACCGGCTTCTGAAAGGCGGCAGGACCAGGCAGAAGCGAGAGCAGGGAAAGAATTTAGAGCTCAACCTGACCTTGTGCCCCACTACTCGTAGCCTGGGAAGCGGCCTTCTCTGGAGGAGACCCCAAAAGGGAAAGGGTTCCCTGCTCTACCATCCCACCACACCACACCCACAACAGGGTAAGGGCGCAGAGGAACAGAGAGAAGCACAGAAAGCCTCTTTCCACATAAAGCACTAATTCAGTCTTAATTTGGATTAAGGTTTCCCTCTTTTGCATGGAATCACCTTCCTGAAGGATTTCTACCTTGGTCAAACTGCGTATAAAATTCTGATGAACTAAAGTAATGAACTAAACATGACAGGCCTGTCAAGTTTCACTTAGCAAACACGGTTCATGTAACAGCAAGTACATAAAAAGAGAAATAAGAAATACCTCTCTATCCTGAGTCACTTTTAGGGAAAGAATTTTCAAATAAATAAAAATATTTCGGAGATTAACTGTTCTCCAGGGATACTGTACTTAAGAATAATCAGAATGGCAAATGGCACGAACAGTTCTTTCCCCTCTTGGCTCTCAAAAGGATATTAAATCTCTAGGGGCTCTGTGTTCAAGTGTAAGATGAGCTGCAAAGTCATCCGTGACATGATTAGGATCGCCTCCAGGTAACGCTGCACATATTGGACAAATCTGAAATGAAAGAAAGCAAGTTTAATAAACGCACACTGATCAGACATCTTTCCGGACCACTATTTCGCTCTAAGTTTTACTATTACCAAGTTTCAAACAGGTAAAACTACAGAGCCTGAACTAGTAAGACTTAAGTAACAAGTGCTGCACGTCAGGGCCGTCTCTCCCATGAAGCGGTCTCCACGGGTCCCACACCACAGACCTCGACAGAGCGTCCAAGCTCCACCTCTGGCAAGGCCGTCAAACTGCCTGCCTGATTTTTATTTGCGTCGTCTGACAACGACAACAAAAAGTTTCCATAAAGAATTTAAAAATATTCTGTTCGGTGCATGTATACGCTTACATCTGGTCTTGAATGGTAAAGACAGACTGAGGCCTTCAGCATATTTACCCAGCGTCAGTCAGCCTTGGGGGCCGACCCCATCAAGACAGCAGAGGTCTGACAAACGCAGACACACCATGCACTGTGTGGAGGGAGCTAGGCAACGTAACATTCAGTGACAACACACAAATGTGCTCTAAATTCATGAAAGGGACTTGGGAGAAAACAGGATGGAGCCCATGTTGGAACGTTATTTCCTAGAGGAAGGGACAGTGTAGAGCAGTCTGTGACCAGGTTACATTCACGGAGTAGAAGACCAACTTTCCTGTGGGCCTTACGGCAACAGAAATAAGGAGAAAGAATAAAACAGTGTAACAGGCAGAGCTCAGAGGGAGCGTGATGGTCTGGAAAGGCTACCTTTGGGACAGTAGTGTAAGAGAATTTGGGAGACAGGTGGCAGGAGATGGAAGGAGGAAGAGTCAAGGTCCTTCCTTGTCCAGAAACCCAAAAGGGCACGTGATGGTCCAGCAGTGTGGTCACGCCTTGAAGTAAGAACAACTTCAGTCTCAACAAAAAGGCCAAGGAAGGCCTGGTGCGAAGGGCGTGGCCAAAGGGAGCCCAGGAAGTACAGTTACAGTGGAGGCCTGTGCCTCCCCACGGCAAGAGAGCTCAAGCGGCCACGCGTATATACGTACATCGAGTCACTGCCAGCCAGGGCATGCAAAACGGGGCCGTCAGTTGGCTTCACTGTCAGCTTGGAGCACAGAGGGAGAAGGAAACAGGGACTGTGAGATGTAGGACAGTGCCGGGTGATGCAACGGAAACAAGCCACTCTCTGACTCCTAGCATGCAAACAAACCCAACTTCCCACCTTCTAACACCTAGAGAGCAGAAGCCCCGAGAGTTTAACTCCAATTTAATACCAGTCTCTCTCATGTCCAGGCTGCTGTCCTGTTTACTGTGTGACTCAGGACCAAGCAATACCCTTGAGAAAATCTAAGGATGCTCATGAGAAATGATGATTAAGCAAAACAGTGTGTAAAAGAACTACAGAGGTCACGATGGAACACGTCTGAGGGCAAATGAGAGCGTAGACAGACGTGTGTGCTTTCTCAGGAGATGCCAGAAAGGTGGCCAGAAACTTTCCTTTGGAGAGAAAAGTAATAGTATCTACTCACAAGTTTACAAATTACCAACTTTTCTGCTACCAGGAGTTCAGGCTCACTCTCTGCACCCTGCCTATGCTCTGACACTGTCTGGGAGTGTTGGCATACTTGTCTGATTTTCGTGTGTTTCTGGCTTGCAGAGCGAGACTACATTTTTTTGAGAGTAGTAAGACAGGAGGATTTGGCTTTGTTTTTAACTGTGGCCAGACATGGGGAAAAAATTAGACCAACAAGGTTTGAAGAAATAAAACAAGTTCTAGTTGTTTAAAATTAAACAAGGCAGCTTAATTTTTTTGGGGGGGGGTGTTCTGGAGATGGCACTAGAGTTTTTTTTGCTTTTTCTCTGTGTGTTTTATTTATTTATTTTTGGTACCAGGAATCAAACTCATGACCTCAGGCTTGCCAGGCAAGCGCTTATGCCGCTGAGCTATATCCCCAGCCCCCTGAACTAGAGTTTTACACAAGCTAGGTACCTGCTCTACTACTGAGCTGCATCTATAGAGCTTCTATTTTATTTTGAGACACAGTCTCACTAAATTGCCCAGGTAACCTCAAACTTTTGATCCTCCTACTTCAATCTCCTGACTAACTGGGCTTACAGGTGTGCAGCACAGGTCTGACCCATCTTAGACATTTTTGAGATTCTTCATTTTCCAACAATTAACAGGAATTGAGTTATATATAGTTTTATTATACAGGATCACAGGATCATATAAAATTTATCTAAGGAGAACAGAACCACCAAAAAGAAAGAAAAGGTGTCTTTCCCCTAAGTTACTTCCCTTTCTTTAGACTGGTCTTTGGATGAAATCTATGTTCAACTTGAGTTGTACAAAGACAGCTGCAGAAGCTGCGGCACCTGAGGACGCATATACACATTATCGTTTTTGGAATGGGGTTTCACTATGCTGCCCAGGTTGTCCTCAAACTTTTCTTCCTCCTGCTTCGGGCTCCCGAGTAGCTGGGATTATGGGCATGTGCCCCTCCCCACGTAAATATTCTCAGAGAGAAGCTGGCTCAAGAACATACATCCCTAGAAGGGAAACACAAATACCAAAAGTACCAAGGATGTCCTTCCTATCTAGGTAGCCTACAAATTAGAAAGCCCTTTTTTTTTGAGACAGGATCTCACTATGCAGCTCAGGCTGGCCTTGATTGTGTATTAACTGGAGTTCTACAAAATTTTTAGGCTGCACTGTAGTTACTGTGCTAGGATGAAGGCATTTACAGAGAAATACTAAACAACCCACCAACTGCCTTCCACAATGACTAGAGATGAAGAATCACTGAGGATTAGGAGTTACGGGCGCGGGAGGAGCAGCCACTTGGCAGCTGGTGCAGAAAATCAAGGGATGAGATTTAGAATAAGCAGAAGATGTTGCTGGATTTGGGCCACATGCAGTTAACTCACAACAGACCGTGGAAAGGACACTAAGCTGTAGTGCTACAGGACCAGCGACCAGCCGGCCATCTTCTAAGCTTCCTATTTTATACTTGGCAGTGGATTCATGTTTAAGATAAAAACTCTGAGCATGTATGAGGCCCAGTGTTCACTCAAGCCTCTATTTTCTCAGGGGTAGTAATGGTGGGAACAAGAAAAGAAAAATGAGAAGTGGGGCAGAATCAGAAAAGAGGTGGGGGTGGGAGACAGATCCACCCTACCCCTCAGGGACTTAACTGCCGCTTAGTTTTGAGTCTGCCTTTGTTTCCGCATTATGGTACCCAGTACCTTTCTGGTGCAGTAAAGGTCTACATAAAGGGTGAGCTGTTAACCCTAGAATGAGATTACACTGGCATTTGTCACACCTTCTCTGCTACATGACATACACCACCTATGACCCACACAGGCAGATCCCATATAACATATCCACTGTAAATTATGACAACCTACCATCAATTAATGCTTACTGGACTGGTTTATGGCAGTGCTTCCTAAACTTGGCTAAGAATATAAATTACCTGGAGCATTTGTTAAAAATGCAGTATCCTAGGCCTTGGAAACAGATGGGTGTGGTTTGAGATCCTAGGTGCTACTTATGACAGACCTTATACAAGGTCTGTCAAATACAGCTTGAACATAAAACAGGACTGAAAATGTATAAACCATTTCCCTGTCATATAAAATACCAAATGTTATTTTACTTACAGAAACAACTACAAAATCTTATTCGCAAATGCCCTGTTGTTCTTGGTCTCCTTTTGGCTGTCACCTGAATCCTCCTCTGCTGCTCTGTGTCATGACTGAGGGTCACTATCCGACTTGCTTTATATCTGCAGCCCCCTGGGGAGCCTTTACCAAATGAGATGAGGGCCCCCCAAGGTGTACTGGAGTGTCCATCTTTCCACATGGTTCTGTGCAAGCTGCTCACAAACAACCCGGCAATGCACATTTAACACAGGTTGTCACTAACATCTAGAACACACCTCCTGGGTCACTATACCACATCGCACACCATGCTCCTGCTGAATGTGCACAGAGCCCAGACCCACGGCACAGGCCACTGTCCACTAGAAAACCATCCCAAGTCAGCATTTTTGTTTGCTTTTTAAATATATTTTTTAACCAGTCTAAAAGCAAGGTAGGGGCTGGGGATTTAGCTCAGCGGCAAAGCGCCTGCCTGGCAAGCGCAAGGTCGTGAGTTCGGTTCCCGGTACCGGAGAAAAACAAAACAAAAAAAAAAACCAACAATTAAAAGCAAGGTTGCACCCACTTCAGTCTCTTTCTTGAGCAAACGCAACCAGGCAGTGCGCTCTCTCTGCGTACCATGCACTGCTGTAAACACGACAGAGTTAAGCTCCAGATGCAAAGAGTTCTTTCCCACTTCTTGGTTGGCTTCTCAGGAAGTTACTTGTTCATTTTGTTCATTGCCACTGAAAAACCCATTTAAAAGGTTGTCCGCTGGATCCAGCATAAAACCAGGCTCTCGCTGAAGCTGGAGGCGGCGCGCTGAGCGGCTGGAGCGCACGCTGGCACAGCGGGCTCCTTGCGCATGAGCACACCCACTCTGCGGGCTGCACGCTCATATCATGCAAACTGCCTGCTAGCACCTGATAAGACTGGCATTTCATGAGGTTTCTGGATCACAAACTTGATAAATCCCCTTCTTCCTTTAATCTGATTAATTCAGATCCATAGGAAACATTTTTCTTTCAAGGGCATCTATTCAAAAGCATTCATTTTTCTGTATCATTTTCTTTTGTGACTTTCTGGTGACACTAACTCTTTGACTCACCTGTTCTCTGTCCATCATGAATTTATAAGCAGCAAGACAGCCTTCTGCAACGCCCTCGTGTTCTGCAGCCCTGCTCAGCCACATAATTGCTACGGCTAGGACACTAGGGTTTCCTGTTCAAAGAGCGGCAGAATCACAGCCTCAAGCAGCCTGCCTTCCCCAGTGACAGCCTGTGCGGTGTGAGGTAGAGGATGTGGCCGCACTCCTCTGCACGGCTGCTGAAACGTCTCTTTATTGTCCACCAAAGCAAAAGGGTGAGTTTTTTGGTTGTAAGAGCTT